CAATTGTATACTAGGGGAAAGCTATTTAAAAATAATAATTGTAAATGGACAGAGATGCCACAGAAAGGGAAAAAGGAAAGGGAAAGGAAATGAAATGAGGATAATATACAATCAGAGAGAATAAAACAAAAACATCACAGAAATTTATATGCGATGAAAGTATAAGAAAAAAAACACGAGTGGGCTCATTGTGATTCGAAACTCGAACTATACTATCGTTGAGCAGTTTTTAGACCCCTACGCCACCGATAATCTTCTTAAGAGGTAAAGATGAACTTTTGCTAATTCAGCAAGTCAAATCGCGGAAGGAGATCCATGGATTGTCTTTTTCCGCCACCCGATGGGATGACGTCCCAGTCAAATACGTTTTTGAAGAATTGATCGATCCCCTTCATCGCTTTAGAGTCCTTTATACCCAGAGTAACGACAACTCGATTATCAGCTGACTGGCAGCCGACCTTGGCTGGCCATGGAGGCCGAAACTAGTGCACTCAAACGAACGATATTGGGGGATAAGGATCAGGAATCCTGCGATGTCTGTCACACAGAAACAACAACATCAACAAATTGATCAATTAAAAAGAAAATGAGATTGGTTTGTGAATAATTTCTTAATCTATTTTCATTTTGGACCGATGGCAATAACAATTTACTCTTGATAAACCACAATTAGGTAATATTTTCATTATTCTTGTTCACATACGAGGTACCGCCATCTTGGTGCACTAGTTTCGGCCTCCATGAGCGAGAACCAATCAGAATTGGATTTTTTTTAGGCCACTTTCAGCCCAATCCTGGCCCAACCAAAAGTGAGTTGTCGTAACTCTGGGTATAAAGGGACTCTACATCGCTTCATCTCCACACATCTATTCATGTGCAAATGATCGCACGCTCCGGCAACAAGGTTCTGTGACGAAATCATTTTTGCCTCCAGAGGCTCCAAAATGTATACATCTTAGTGATGAAGCCGAATGTCACTCTCGTGGCGAGTGATTAGGGGTCCAGAGGGCGCAGCCCCTTGGCTGCCCGTGACGGACGCGCTTAAGCGTCGAGAACGGTAGTTAGTAAATGTATAATCATCGCCAATTTTTAGTCTAAGATGTGGGTGACATTTAGGTAATCCCCCTAAACCATAAATGTTTTGCATACCATGAAGGGTGTTCAATGAAGACGATCGGAAGTTTGATGAAAATTATGCAAACAAAGAAAATATCAGCCGTTTTACAAAATACAATCAATTTCGACTTCTACCCGGTTGGACGAACAATATTTTTAAAACATTTTGAAAATATTAAATTTATATTTTTTTAGAATATTCTGGTAACATTTCAAAACTATTTCTTAAATATGAAAATGTGAACACCAAGATATTTTTAAGAGAAATCTTGGATTTCTTACTATATATCAAAAAAAGCTATGGCCATTTTTGTGTGCACGTCTTTGTCAAATTGCATTCTCATTGGTCCTTTCATAATGTCAAATTGCATTCTCATTGGTCCTTTCATAAGCCAATCAGAAAACTTCCTTTCAAAACTCCCCGGGAAATTTAAATGTAATCTTCCATTATTCATTCGATATTAAACAGGATAGACGGGATAGAACGGGATGTATTTATAATAAGTGGGATAAAAGGCAGGAATTGTCAGAAAAGTGCAAAAATCAGTGAGTTCCATGGACAAAATAAATGTTTGGCCTATGTTTTGTAATTAAACCGGATACATATGTGTAAAATAGGATATCGTCATCGATCTTCGATACATCGTTCGAAATAAAACGGGATGGACAGGGATAAAATGGGATGAATTGACATTAACCGGGTTAAATGGTGGAATTTTGAGAAATGGGGAATATTTCAAAATATCCGAAATAAATTACGTAAGGTTAAGCATATATAGCATTACCTTGCTCTCTCTACCAACGATTACTGTAACTACTTACTTCTGCGTACTCAGCGCACTCTTTCAAGCAAATGTGGAGGCACAGACAAAGACCGCAATTTTCATATTCCTGCACATATATTAAGTACATCTGAAATTTGAATCGCACAAGTATAGAACACTGTAAACCACCTACTTGAAGTCCTGCGACGATTGGAAGCGTAAACTATCTGGACGCCCGCGTGTGGACCTGAACCCGAGCCGCGGGCGTACTGCGCTTCAGGGTGCTGATGAACATCAGGGTTGAAATCACGCCTGATATAGTCATACACTGCGCCAGCGCAGCAGCCACTGCCTCGACTCCATCATAACGTTGATTAACGCCAAGTTTTCTATAAAACTTCTATAAAACTTATATTTTTATAGTTTCAACCACCGAGGGAACGCCGAGGATCCGGTGAATTACGCTATTTCTGACGTAGTCATCCCAATGGATCCCCATGAGCCCCCGGAGAATGTTGCTTTGAACGGGCTGGATCCTTTGGATGTTTGTCTTTGCGGCACACCCCCCACAGTTAACACCCATAGGTCCAGACTGGCTTTAGTAACATGTTTGTATGGAAGAATTTTATTGCGAAGTGAAAGTACACTATTTGGCTTGAAAAGCCACTACATTGACTTGTATTTTGTTAGAATTTGCCTCCTTTTGGCCTGGATATGGGGGCTGAACGTTAGATTCGTATCGAGCCTTATACCCAGATAGTTGGCAGTTTTGACTGCGGGAATTATTTCTCCGTCTAGTTTAACTTTTATTTCCGGACATTTGATTTTGCTGAAGGTGCAATGCTGTGATTTGGTGCTGTTTACCAAGGTTCTTCAGCGTTTGCAAAATTTGGATGACCTGTCCAGTCCTTTTTGTAGGGTTTGGCCGACCGTTTTAGCATTTGACCCAAAGGATGAGATAGGTACCAGTGTCATCGGCAAAAGTCGAAACACGTGTGCCTTTGGTTCTGGGAAAGTCATACATGTAGATAAGAAATAGGACTGGGCCTAAACATGATCCCTGTGGCACTGATGCAAGAATGGACATAAATTTTGAGAAGATTACCGTGAAGATACGAGTTTAATAAAATAAAGTAATTGACCGGTAATAATTTATAAATTTTAAGTACTAGTCTGGCCAGCCAAACTTTGTCGAAGGCTTGAGCTAGATCGAGAAGAGTGACTGAACAGATCATTCTGAGTTCGAAGCAATTTTCAATTAAATTAGTAATTTTGTGTACTTGTTCCGCTGTAGAGTGTCTTTTCCTAAAGCCGAACTGGTGTGCAGGGATTATTTTTCTTTCGTCAATAATGGGCATGAGTCGTTTAAGAAATGCTCTTTCAACGAGTTTGCCTAGTATTGACAAGAGAGAAATGGGCCTGTATGATGATGCCAAGTGTGCGGGTTTGCCTTTCTAATGGATAAGTATGACCTCCGCGACCTTCTAAGTTGATGGAAAGAATTGAAAGGAGAATATTGCATTAATAATTTAACTTTATTCGGGAGATTTTTAAGCATCTCGCCAGTGACTGCATCCATTCCTGGCGCTTTCTTGACTTTAACTTTGTATTTGATCATGTCTGAGATCTCCGAGGGTGTCAGCCTGCCAATCTCTTCCGGGGGAGAGGGGGTAATTTTAGCTCTTTCTTCTTCTATGTCTGTATCTGAAATGATATCTTTATGTTGCTGGAACACTTCGGATAAGTGACGACGAAACTCGTCAGCCTTTTTTTGGTGAGTTTTGGTCCACTTGCCATCAGGTTTTTGTAAGGGTTGAAAGAACCCTTGTGATTTTTTAAGTATTTTGTGGTATTCCACAATGAGTAATCGGTTGTGGGTGTAGGAATTAATTCTTTTAGGTACTTATAGTTTTGTTCTTCTCTAAATTCAGAGATTTTTGTAGTTGTTAATCTATTTATCTTCTCGAAGTGTTGCCTGTCTCTATAAAATCTACTTTTCTGCTATTTGGCGCGTGCTCTCCTTCTTTCTGTGATTAAATTCCTAAATTCCGGGGAAAGGCTTAATTGAGTGTTAGTGTATTTTATAATGGGTGACACCCTGGTAGCCGCAGACGTGATCAACTCCGCTAGTCTTTTGGCTTCTTCTTCTAACTTAGAAATACTGTCAGGGCAAAGATTGATTTCTTGATGAAGGTGAGATCTAAATAGGTCCCAGTGCAGTTTTGGCGTTTGTTATTTGATCACGTTTTTTTCAATATGATTGATAGATGGATTGCCAGTTTGATAGGAATGTGGTCGAAGTTCATTTCGATCTCCGAACCAACTGCTAAGTAGTTTCTGGAGACATTGCGGGTAATGAAAAAGTCAAGGATGTCCGACTGTCTATTTGGATCTTTAGGACAGTGCGTGGGAAACCCATCGGTGATGACATTTGCATGTATGTCATTTATAGCATGTAATAGTTCTATGCCCCTAGGGTTATGTGCTCTGCGCGAGAAGGCCAGGTATTTAGAATTAAAGTCCCCCCTAGAATTAGTCTTTTAGGGAGTTTTCCAAAGAATTCAAGGAAGTCTTCCTTTTTTGTGATCTCATTCGGGAACAGCAGTAGACCGAAGCTATGAATATTTCTCCTAGATTGGTGGAGATATTCACACCCACATCCTAAAAGTTATCCGTCGAGATATCCAAATTAGGGTCGTAGTAGTATTTAATGGATTTTTTAATTAGTAGACCTACTCCTCCTCTGCAGGAATCGCTAGGATGGTTGGCTCTAAAAAAGTCATAACCTTTAGGTCTCCCACGATGAGCGGAGTTCAATCGTCGACATCGGCAGAAGTCGAATTCGAAAAAAGGGCAGTCGTCGACTCGAAGCGAACGGGTCGAATGGTTCCGCGAACTGCCGCGAATGTCATGAACATTCGCCGGGGCGAGTTCGGACGAGTTTGTTATTGTTTCTCATTAAACTAACCCCTTTTGACTTTGAGGACATTAGTAATAGTAATAGCTACCTATTTAATAGTCAAGAATGTCTAATATTTTTCACTGAATAAATTTTCGCATGTCGTCGGATAAATTATTTTTTTGGCAGTGTGTCTGTTTAGTATGTAGTAATTTCTTGCCTAGCCACTGCTGTTCATTGTCGGAACGGTGGGAAGTTAATCGAAGCTGTTCAATCCGGAAGTGTTTTTGAGTCAGTTTAAATTAATTAATTAATTTCTTTTTCAGTCTGAGCCCTAATTGAGTGGACATTCTACGACTTTCGCGTAGGTAGGTGGAAAAATCCACTTTTTGAGGAAAAAGTAGTCTTTCAGCAGTTCATAGATTATCTCCACTCGCTACCACGCCAAAGGAGCATATCATTGCGTCTGATCATTGAAGGTTTCTTGAGAACCAAGTTGATGAAAAATGCAGATGAAACTGTAGCTTTTCTTGTTCTTGAAAAACTTTAATGGCAGATTTTCTTATACAGCGAGGGAAACGTCTCTGCTCCATGGTCATAGTCGCCATGACTGAAGATTTCTTCGATGGTAAAGTTCCTTATCACCTTTAATACGCTTTAATATCACAGGTCTTTACATCTACCTCATTGTAAGTTGCTTTCAAGCCTCTACTTTGACAACTTTATTCTTGATGTGGAAGCCAACGTTTTGTTACCCACAGGAGTTACTTGGAAATAAATACATTCATGTAGGATACCTAGAATTTACTACCGACACAGTTTCCTTTGCTTCAATCTGCTTTTGCGCAGTTCCTCATACTGTAACGTGACAAGACTGAGTCATAGAAGGGTGCCTCGGCTCCCTACTAAAGAGAGACAGGGTGCTGAAAACACGAACACAAAAAGATAAGAGGATGAAACACTAAGTATACTTGACTGCAAAAGTGAAAGAGCCGGCTGAGGCCCAGCCTCAAAGAAGTACAACTGGAACTTCTCACACTAGTCCTAATCGGAACATTTTAATTCAAACATGGAAAAAGTTATGACATAGGTACCTATCGAGCATTCTTTTTGCACATCGCGGTAGGACATGATACTTTCAAAGACGAGAAAAATCAAGTTTATTTTCCATGACATTAAAAAAAAAATTAGGCATTTTCACCGCGACTTGTTTCTGAAAACACAGAAATGAGACATTGATTTTTACACGCAACTTCATAAGAGTTTTTCACTTTCATTGAAGAAATTTGAAGTTCATTTTATAAATCCTTCCATTTTAAGGGGATGCATAATGAAGGTGACATCACTTAACCACAATCCTATCTGCAGTTGCATCATTTCAGATGTTCTTAAATTTTTTACTATTTTGAAGCATAACGGATCAGTACATGAAGAAAAATTGCATGTAATGCACCGATTCTGAGATGCTATCAATCCATATTCCTTGCACAATGGAAATTTTTCTAGGTTCACCATTGATGTGTATGTCTAATCACATTAAAAGATAAAAATAAATAAAAAAAAAGCCACTTAGCGCCCCAGCTGGGTCTTATTAGAAAAGATATTAAAAAAACTTAAATTCCCTCCAAGTATCAGAATGGAAAAATCCTGAAGACCTTTCTCTTCAAATCATGGTGCAAAATTAAGAGGAGAACGTTTCTCCAAAGTTCATTTTCAATTAAGTCTATTATTGGACATAGCCTTTCTCTGATGAAGAAAAGGAAGACATTAATAAGCTAGGCTTTTATTGCTCATCAGTCGAGGTCAAATTAAAAATCGAGACCTGTTTACTTAGGTATCTACTTTAAGGGTCAGAAACAAAGCATAAATTTAGTTTAATTTACAACCATTGATGGAATTTCCTGATCCATTATGGCTCTCGTTCTGCTAAGAGAGCTACTTAAACTTAGAGGTCTTTAGTGTCGTCCACGGCAAAGACAAGCAGCCTATACATAATGCTCCATTTGCAACAAACGATAAAATGAAAAGTAAAATAAAATGCACAATGGTGAACTAGGTTCGATTGGTTCGGTGCGTTCGGGCATCGACGTATGACCGTTCGCGAATCGACCTCTGACCGTTCGCCACGAATCGACCATTGCCGATGTCGACCTTTGCTACTCGTTCCCCACGATACGTCATGCCACTGGCGAGATGAGTTTCAGTTAATAGCATAATGTCTAGGTCCCTGTCGTGAATATAGCGATAGACTTCATCCGACCTCTTAGGAATGCTATTGCAATTAAAACATGCAATCTTGATGGGTGAATTACTCATTTTTTATGTGCTGCGTCTCCTGGGCAGACGAGTTTATTTTCTAAGGTGACTATCCTCTGGGACAAATTATTAACTGAGAGAAGATTTTGGTTCATAGTGGCGAAAAGTTCGTCAAATCTATCTGATGATGGCGATTTTGAGTACCTTGTTCATTTACTAAAATTTCATTTTGATTTTCTGTAGTCGGTTCTTGGTTAGCATATTTGTTTAATTTGGGAAAGCTCCTCCTATCATTTCTGAACGCGTCTCTGAAGGAGACTCTCTTTTTAAGGGTTGAGGCAGCCAGAGGTACTGGTTGTCCGGTTCTGATTGCTTTTTTCTCTTCAATTTTCTTGAAAAGTTCTTTCCTTTGTTCTGTAATTGTTTTGGCAATCAAACAGCCTCTATAACTGGCTGCATGATTACCACCACAGTTAGCGCATTTTGGGTCAGTAATAAATTTGGGCTTTTCACAGTGGAAGGATAGATGCCCACCGCCGCACTTTACGCAGCGGGGAGGATAGTTGCAAAAATTACTTGAATGATTGTAGCCCTGGCATTTTTTACACTGTACTGGTGTTAAAGGAGAGTTGGATGGGACTGGTTCAATCATTACTTTAGTGTTAGCTATCATTTTAATTTCGAAATTTTTTTCAATGTTATCACCATGCTCAAAGCTGACAGTGAACGTGTTTAAGGGTGAATATTTGATAGTAGGGGGGGGGCAGTTTGCGAGCTGCTACCCTCCCTTGATTTACCTTGATTTACCTCCGCTTCCGCACCGCTGCCGCTGGAGTCCGTCGGAGCACCGGAGCTTACTGATGTAGGCTGCGCTGTGTCATTGACTGCAGTTTTAGCTACATAGTTGGGATCATTAATTGGCTCTGGGTCGTTGGTCTTTGCCATCTGTTCTGGTGTTGCTGAAAAATTTGGAAAAGTATCAGCTTTATTTTTCCCAGGATATTCGACTATTCTTTTTAAGTTGTGTGCGACAGAGAGTGGTTTAAAACCGCTATCTTTTAGGCTAATAATAATATTAATAATAGGTGTGTCATGATGAAGACCTTCAACTGTTACACGAATGGGTCTGGTATTTTTATTTTCGAAATTATTGAAGAAAATATTTGCTGATTGGAGTTCTTTCATTAATTTGTTGTGTGTTTCGTCTTCAACAGTATTAATTTTAAAAGAATCGTTTGACAATACTGTTGAGGTCCATTTTGTAGAACCAATCAATTTTGTTTAAGGCTTTACATAATTCATCGAAATTCGCTTGGATGGCAGTGTAAATAGGAGGGGTTTTTTGGACTTGTTAGTTTTGTTTTTTTGGGATTGTATTGAATTTTGAGATACTGATACGTCATTAGAGTTACCTTTAATGTTACTATTACTAATTTCGCTACCGGCCTTATTGTTAGTTTCCTTTTTTTTAAAATTTTGTTAGCTGTGGCTATCGCCTTACTTTTCTTAATCTATTTATTGCTGAATTGGCAATTGGATTGAGGTTACCCGGGTTAATGAAAGCTTCGTCGTCCGAGCCCAGTGTGATGTCGTTGTCATCTTCTGGAGTTTCGTCCATGTCATCGCTTAGAGTTGCGAATTTGTTCTGATCAGCGAAGAGTTGTTTTTGAGGTAAGGATGGAACTCACTTCGGCTTGGATTGTGAATCACCCTAGGACGCTTGGAGTTGGTGGTGTTTTGATTTTTGGCTGCTGCAACTAAATCGCTGATTTGCTGCGACATTGTGTTCAGTTGAGCTGTTAATTGCTGAACTTGACTTAGTAATTGAGAATTCTGGTTCCTTAGAAATTCCGTCTTTTTTGCTAGACATGGTATTTAGAGCTTGAACTGGTTGCTAGGAGGTAGGTCGGGGTGAGGGAGCAGAGTAACTAGCACTCGTATGGTGAATTTGAATATTTTCCCCACTTCCTACCGTAGTATTTAAGGTCCTTGTGGAAGTGTTTAGTTTTGGAAGGCTATTCCTTTTAGATAGAGAAAGAGAGAGATTATAGATTGCGAGCTAGGGGATTGAGAAAGGTTCGTTATTTCACCAGCAATCTTGGCACTTTTGATTTTGGAGCAGAGAGGGTCTAAACAATCTGTTATATTATGAGAGATACACTGACATGTTGAACATTGTCTGAAACCGTGGGCAAAACACTCTCTCATTGTGGAAGTCCACTGATTACTTACACGTAAGAAAATCTAGGGGTTTGGACCCCCAGATTAAGTTGGTAGAAATTAATTTACATTATTTACATATTTTACACTGTACAAATTGGACACGTAGGCTTTAAGCCTATTTGGTATAGGGAAGAAGTACACTGGTGTGGCGCTTAGATAGTGGAGCATATCAGACCGTAGTCGACTGCTCCGCACGGCTTATCAAACGCGACCCTTCAATAATATAACGGGATTTACTACCAGTGAATTAGCTGTTTTCTTTTTGCTCAAATGACTCAAGAGACACTGTAGTTAAAAAATATAAAGAATTTTTGATTTTATAACACTTTTCGGACCTGTAACAAATGTTTAACTCGTTCAGGCACACCGTGTATTGTATGGAGTACTGCTGCTATTCGACCCTTGTCTTCAGGTCTAAATTCTTACAAGGAAGCCCCTAGCAAGAGGCGAATTTTTGTAATTTCCCCCAATTTTTTCTCCGTTATATAATTGAATTGCTTGTCAAATTATGAGGTCAATTACATTCAATTGTAATTTATACATTCCTTTTTCCCCCTTTATTTTATTTTTTGTATAGAGAAGTCTAGGTTCTGTTGATTTCTTTGGATTTTGAATACTGTAACTTCTCTTCTATTCGGCTGATTTTTATGAATGAGGCCTCTTTTAATTTGTGTTTTAACGGAGAGTAAGGGAAAAATTGCTAAATACACGCGAAACAATTTTTTTTAAAATTGGATGAATCATAGTATGACGGTGAGATGGTTAATCGAGCGTAAGTAATAGGGTGAGGGTCCCGGCGGCCGCCGCGCCGGGATCCAGGTCATTGTTCCTCTCGAGACGCCGACGGAGTGGTCAGGCGCTTGGGGAAGAGAGGGGTAAGTAGATTTCTATACGTGCAAGTAGCTTCCTGTATGAGCCACGTTTAGAAGATGGTCTAAGGAGTCTCAAGGCTCATCACAGATTGCACTTACGGCTGCCCTGGCTGGCCCTGGCTATCAAAGCAGTGGTACCAAATTTTGAAAAACATAACAGAGATGTAGAGATCTGTTAAAGCAACTTTTTAAACAAAACGGAGGAGTGAAATTCTCATTCGAAGATTGCTGAACTTCTGAGCCATCCTCGAATCTGTTCGATTGCTTTTCTTATGTATGCATGTTTTAAATTAGCGCGGGGCAGTGTTAGGTTTTTTTTTTTTTTTTTTTTTTTTTAAAAAAAACCTAAGACTGCTCCGTAGTTACTTCTTTTTTTTTAAAAAAAAAAAAAAACCAAAAACGTAGACTCTTGGTATTCATTGCACATAAACTAGAAAGCCCCAGAATGACAAAAATTTTAAATCATAATTATTGACGGATTAGTAAACTTTTACACGCTTTGGAAAACCAAAGACGTTCGCGCCAGTCACTTTCTGGTAAGGAATCAAAGGACTCGGTACATTGTATCGAGTAGGGGGTCGAAACGATCGCAAAGGCGGTACACTACGCATACGCGCCAGTATATTAGGGCTCAGTTTTGAGGCATGAGAGGAAGGAGTTACCATTGTGAAAACATTTTTGGCTAGAAAATCCGTAACATACTATGCGACATGAGGCCGGCTCATTGTGCGGAGGGGGAGAGGGGGGTATCGCAGATCCCACTGAGCGCTAGCATCGGTACGGTTCAGATGATAGCACAATTAATTGTACGGCAGCCCTCTAAGCCCCCACTCAACCAAGCCATATGTACCCAACATGGCGCCAGTTTACATTCGACTGCCTATCCTCAGGACTACAAGGACTACATGGATGCGGAAAACCTGATGCCGCTGCCAACGAGTGACGTGAAGAACCCGATATGCCTGGAGATGCGGCTGCTAAGGTCTGAAATGGAGGCGGTTGGCGGAGGTGGACCAATGGAAATGGGTTCGGTGGACAGCTCGGACACATTTACCTCATGCAACACGCAACCGTTCAACTCGCATATGGATCTCACGACTGAGGACCCAACCGCCCTTGGCTGCGACTCCTCCAATCTATACATTAACCCTCTAGAGTCGGCCCGAGGTGTCGTAAAAAAGTCTATCTCTAGGGACTCGGGGCTTCGCAACCTTGGGAACTCACTCATCGATGAAGAGAGCCGCTTTCCTTCTTCCAAGAGGAGTAGCCGTGGAAGTCTCAACGAGGATTCGTTGCCTAAACACAGGAGAACCCGCTTTCAACAGGTACTTAATCAAAATTCATCGCAATAGGGCCTAGCAGATACATATGATTTTAAATAACCTCTTTCGTAACCTTCAGTCGATAGAATTTGTTCCCGTCATATTTTTGTAAATATGATCGTAGTAAGTTCACGAAGACATTGCACTCGGGAAAAGGTTTATAACATCAAGGGATCAAGCACGCACCTACGTCCTACGTGCGGTTGTGGAGTTGAATTTAGTCGAAGCAATGGGTGTCAGTGAGTTCTTTTCATTTCTGGCGACATTCTCGTTGGCAAGCACCTATGTTCATTTTGTATGAGCCCTTTTGTGAGATATCACCATTACTTATCAGACCTGCTTTTTTAAAAAAAAAAAAAAAAAAAAAAAAAAAAAAAAAAAAAACTCTGAATACGTATAGATGAGACCTCTATGCATACCGTTTTCCACTATGTACCTTATGTGCTCGTGCCTTTTAGTCTTAAATATTAGCTGCTGACTGGCGTTACTTATTTTGGGGAAAGGAAAGGTCGTCGTTAAAATCTTATCTTTTAAATGTTGCAGCTGAGATCGGTGACGGATCCGTGTCGGGATTCACAAGAGAGCTTAGAAACAATCAAACGAAGAAAATCTTCATTTATGCCTGCCAAATCACTCGCCTCTGCTACGAAACTTATCAACCAGCACCTTTTCGGCATGCAAAATTGCAAACAAGGTAATTCAAAAATATTGTTTGCCATCAACGACGATTCCTTTCATATTTATCGGTCAATGCTGAGTTAGGGGAGATCGGGGTTATTTGGGCCGTAGAGATCAATGAGGCATTTGGGATATTTTCTGACCTAAAAGGGATTTTTTCCGTTTGCCGACGTAGAAAGTTGGCAATACTTGTACTCTACCAAGTAAAGTGCGGTGACGCCGAAGGCATCGTTTTTGTTGTGGAGGAATCTAATTCAGCCGAAAACGGGCTATTTTTGCCGGAGAAGTTTGTACAAACTGAAAGGTTGTCACTTTGGATCGTTAGAATTGTTTTGAAAAGTAGACCGGTCCTCCTTAGTTCCTAAATGATTTCAGCAATTCTTAAACGCTCTACTGTATCTTCTAGAGATATTTCACCAGCTTTGATCAGTTTTACTTGAATGACGGTGTCGTTTGAGCCAAATACTAGACGGTCTCTTAGACTGCTTTTGATGTTCTCCAACTCGCCACCTATTTTTAGCCAATTTTTTGAGGTCATTGTAAAAACTGTCAAAGGTTTCGAGTGTTTCCTCTCCCTCACATTCTTCATCTTCTGTGGCTACGCTACCCAGCGTGTAGGTAGTACACTTCGCCACCAATTATGTGAATAAGCAAAGCTACTTTTTATCCACTTCTCCATTTACGTTGTCCGGAGACGGTCGGATAGGGACGATTCGAATTCTTGTCTAAACGTCTTCCAGTTTTGGTTCATATTCCCAGTGAACACGAGAGGCTTCGGCAGTTGTAGGCTCGACGTCATGGGCGTGGGTGGATCTTGAAACGCGGCTTAACACTCACAAATTCACGATAATGTTTTGAGGACGCGGATTACACTCGCGACCACAACAACTGCGCCATGTATGGTTGAAACAAATGAAAGAGAGAAACAATGGTGGTGAAAGCAACAGTATTTTCACAGTTCTCGAGAAGACATGATGCACGACGCACGACACGATGTTTTATGACAAACTGTATCACGCTCCAATGTAGGAGACACGAGTCATGCTCGTTCGTTCGTTGCCCGCCAGGAGGTGTCTGTTCTGAAACCTGGACAAAACAACACTTGTATGTTAGGGTGGTTCTCATTTTTTGACTTTTCGAAAATCAAATGTCAGACCCCTCCCCCCCCATTACGTTGTCTCTTGGTGTAAAACGGACGTAAAACAAATTTCAGCCGGATCGAATCATCAAGAAGTGGTGCCGCCGGGGCCGACAAGTCTCCAAGCGGGAACTTCAAATTTGGGACAATCGCGTTTTTCCGTCATTTCACAAATTTTTCCCCCCTTTAAAATGTAGTTCCAGCTTTGAAATTATTTGAGGTAACACACTTTTAAAGGTACTTTACAAAAAAAATAACATTTTTTCCCTTACCAATTCTAAAATACCCTTTTCTACCCCTCAAAAGAGCCTTATCGTGCGATTCCGCCGATTTTTCGTAACATTCTCCCGACACGGTTTACCTGAACGAGCTTAAAGTTTTTGATAAATCAAAAGCATAAAAGCTTCAGATTCGTGAAGTAGAGTATCTACCGTGTCATTTAAGCCAAGAAGAAAAACATTCGGTCGAGCTCCTGGAAAATATAGTCGACTTATAGGTACTTCAGGGCTACAAGAGGCAACTAACCGATAGTAAGTCCCGTTATATCTCTGAAAATAAATTTCCTCGATAGTTATAATGCCTAGGTTTCTTAAATATGGTTATTTTAAGTACTCGAACACCAAAAATGCGATTGTCTAAAATTAGAAGTTCCCGCTTGGAGACTTGTCGGCCCCGGCGGCACCACTTAGGATGATTCGATACGGCTGAAATTTTTTGTACGTTCATTTTACACTAAGAGACAACTTTATGGGGGGGGGGGGGTCTGACATTTGATTTTCGAAAAGTCGAAACATAAGAACCACCCTGATGTATGTAATTCGTGTGACAATCATTTGTGCAGCATACTAGTGAGATGCCCTTGGTCCCGATGATCGTCATTATTTTCGATGAATGAAGTCTACCATTTAAAAATGGATGGTTTGCTAGAAAACGCACCGGGTGAGCTCAGTTCTATCAAAATTTTTGAAAAACTAAAATAAAATCTTTGGATGAAAAAGCGTAACTTGTACGGTCCATTCCTATAATTTCGAAACACAATTAACAGCAAAATGGAATAGGTATTTACAAGACTTCGGAATTGGCTGCATTCATGAAGTCAACGTAGATACAAAATTGTTATAGTGATCAAATTTTTATACTCTCGCAGACAGGCGTTCATACATTTTGGGGCGCGTTGAATTGTGTGAAAGCGAAAATTGCAAGTAATAGTTAAACATTTTGCAACATCAGTGGGTGGAATTAAAGGTGATTAGAAAGTTTGTTCGAAACGAATGAGGTGGCCGGTGCCCCTTAAAAATATCGCACTCCTGTACCTACTCCAGCAAACCAATCATTATATTTTTTGTGTGAAGTAAATGAATATTTTGATAATATGTTTGTCCTCTGAAATAAGGGGCGTCCTTATCTTTTCTCTGAGCACCACTGGAAGCGTGTGGATGACATCAACTGTGGATTCGCTGCACACGTGCACAGGATCCACAGGGTGTAGGCTCCACGCTATACTTTTTCTCTGTCTCACTCTAATTTAGTACATGGGCTCCACGATCGGTAGTTCTGATGCACCAGTTTTCGGGGTTGTTTGTGTGAATTCCATGCACCGTGAAGAGGTTGCACCGTGCACCGTTACCGGTTATACCACCAGACTACAGAATACACCGAGTCCCACGAAGATTCGTACATTCGCCCATAATTTCATGGACCATCGATCCTGGACTCTACAGGTACCTGACCTTGTCATATTCGATAAGTACTTTAATACCAAAGGACCTGGCTTTAGGACCTGTTCGTCTGATCGTAGGTAACCCAAACGGAGCCGGCTCCTTATTAATTCAAGTTGACGTCCTCCTGATACCGCCACCACGGCACACTGAGTATTTTCCCAATTCACTCTGTATGTGAAAAAGTCTTTGCAGCCTCTCGTTCAAGTATGCATACATACATACATAAAGTCGCTTTTATAGCGCCGCCTCGCGCTCTGCGACGCCCAATCGCCATTGCCCCCTATCCTCCCAGAGATCATCAGGCAATTGGCACCTTCTGATCTCCTCCTCCACCCCTTGTCGCCAACCTTTCACAGGACGTCCACGCCTGCATCCATCCAACATATTTCATTCCCAATATTTTGATGCGCTGAATCCGAATTGGAACTCAGATTTTGTCCAAAACAGCATGTGTAGAAGTCAACACCATTTTTTCACGAAAATCACAGACTTTTAGGCGATGTGCTTGATTGGTATCTGGAAATAGTTGAATTCCCAGTATTGTAGGTGCATGCCGCACCCTGAGGAAATATGGTTTCCATTACTTTCACACCAAAATGTAATGTCTACACTAATCGGTCTAGTCACTTACACTATTACTCTTGCGTCTGTTTGCAGCTAAATTTATCGAACGGCGGAGCTCCGTGTCGAACGAGTCCCTAGATAGACTTTGTTCGACGCCTGAGTCTCACCGGCGCTCCAAGTCAATCTTGAAAAGGCACTTAGAGGGCCGAGACGGAAACGGTCACCGGAACGACCGGGGCTCTACCTCGGACGACCCTGAAATGGAGAGGCTCATTTCAGACAACGTCTCCGGAGCCAGCGGCTCAGACTACTCCCCGGCTCGGTGTCCGCCATGCACAACTGTCAACGCAATCTCTGCTGCGACCGTTACAACTGTGAAGCCACACACGCTCCCAATTAAACTCGTCGGCATTGCCAGCGCCCCCGGGGTAAACGATCAGTTGGACACAGTGCTCCTGAAGGACCTCCTGAACTCAGCCCGGGCCGCTCAGCCCCTCTTCATCTGCCCTCCACCACCGCCCATGGATCCCTCACCCAACGAGGAGACCAAGCTTCTTGTCGATACCTCTCGCTTTAGGTCCTGCAATGAACGCTCCATCTCGTCGTAGCAGTTAAAGGTAAGATTTTGTATCATTTTAGCCTAACGTATCTACTCACAAGGAGGAAGTACTATGACAGTAGATCTGTGGACGGATCTCTCGGTTAAAAGAAATGCCAGCAAATTCTTGAAGGAATGAAAATTGAAAAAACAACAGAGAATGAGAAAATTAATGGAAGAGATAAAGAGAGAGGAAATTGTACGCGGAAGTTTTGTTTAGGAGGCAAGTAGTATGGAAATGGCGATTTGAGCCCAATCGATCTATCGCGATCTTCGATGTGGGGTCATTCCACGTCAAGTGTACCAGGCTCGGAACCCGACCCCCTCCGATTTGGCTGAAAATTATTAAACGAGGTCTCAACATCATTCTAAGAGAATGAATATGAAATGTGATAGTTTGAAGGGTTTTCCCATCCGACGCCCCGTTCGCGAGATATCGACCCCCAAAGATGGGGTGAATTTTAGTGATATTAAAAAAAGCCCGTTTTAGCGATTCTCATTTTCCAAACTTCCCTCTCTTTTACTCTCCATAGCGAGACTCTGTATCAGTCCATCATACTTTGAAAGAGTGTTTCTAGACCACTTTTTCATGTAGATTTTGAATATGCCATCGAAATGTAGCTAAAAATTATTTAAATGACCATAATTTAGGGTTTTTTAAAATTTACTATTTTTTCGCCATTCAATGTTCAAACTGAATTATCTAAAAAACAATCGCTCCGATTTTCGATTTTTTTATACTTCAAGCTTAAGATATATACTTTTGGTTGATATACTTTTTTCAATTGCTATCGGACAGTTTAGGGCCTAAAAAAATTCAAATAGGCCAAAAAAGGTCAAAAATTTTCAAATTTTCACTTTCAAATTGACACCTTTAGGTGCAATTATTCTTCTGCAGGCCCGACTCGGGTCATGGGAAACGGTACGAACACTCCTCCCTTGTGCATCTCGTGTTACAGATCCAGTCGGATCCCCATACCGAGGATTTGATTTAGACTTGACCAGAGACCTAGACTGTCCGTCTTCCTATTCATTTGAGCGTCGAATCGACTGTACAAAACTTCCATATCGATTCATTTAAGAAGGATGGTGTTTTTAGTTTTGAACGCGTGCAGTCGTAAACCCTACTCCTCGTCATCGTCATCATCGTCGTACGCAACGTAGATTCTAAAGTTGAGAATTAAGGAATGTTTTGAGTTTCCCATGACCCGAGTCGGGCCTGCAGAAGAATGATTGTACCTAGTGATGTCAATTTGAAACTGAAAATTTGAAATCCACATTCCGGTGCTCGAGGTCCGAGGTTCCGAACAATTCCTCTGCGAAACATACCTAAACGTGCACCGCGGAACTAACAATACGGTTATGTCACCGGTCACCAATAAACTCACGTTCGATAACTCACACCGGTATTTAAATTTGTTTTATTTTTTTTGCACCATCTCGGGGCATCCTGAGGGAGGGGCAAACATTTTGACACCCCAAGAAGATGGTCTCCTTTGAGATAGAAACATTCCCAAAGTTTCGTTTTTCTTTCTTCAACCGTTCAAAAGTTACCAGGGGGGAGGGGGTACAGATTTTTGGGACACCCTGTATGATGTGACGCACTCTATCATTTCGAAGCATAAAATGCAGCACCGGAAAAAAAATCGGGAAAATAACTAACAAAATTAGGAGCCCTTAATCAGGTGGGTGGGCCCGTAAAGCAACGAGGGCTCTTATCATTGTTCCATGGAAGAACATTAAGACCAAGGTCACAAGATGTTCTGTAGGAGCGTTCTGCTACGCTGCCGTGATAGCGAAGAGAGCCGTAAGTGCAAAAATGAAGTTTTGAGAAAACGGGCTTAGAAGCTTCTGACAAGATCATTTTATTGAGAGAAGCCTCCGTTCTTTGTCAAATTGCCACTAATCGTCCGGAAGACTCCTAGAAATCGTATGGATGATTAAAAATCGACTGATATTCTTTCCATTACATAATAAGGGTATTTTTCATTTTCATGCTAGGTTATTGTTAGGCAAGACAGCCGTAAGTGCTATCTTCTGCATGCTTTCGTGGTTGCGTTTTGGACGCACAACAAACACATTTTCTGGTTAGAAATTGGCAGAAGAGGGCGGCACTTTACTGGAAAGCACTGTTTTCATTGGCTCTCATGCATCCACGGCTGTCTTGAAAAAAAAACTGTGTCATTTTTTGTGCACTTACGGGTTTTACATACGTCTCGTTCTCATTAAATTAGGATGAATTTTGCTGTTTTAGCTGTCTCAGTAATTTCATCTAAAAGAGTTTAGACGAATTTTGAAGAAAACTCGATTTCGAAAATTTTGCCCTTACGGCTCTCTTCGCTATTACGGCAGCACGCTGAAGCGTCGTCGTCGTGAACGCTCCAGGAAAAATTCAAACTCGACAAAGGCTGGAATCAATGTTTTGACTAATCAAGCAAATGAAAAAACAGAAAGGAAGGAAAAAAGTCGGACATGATACAAACTGAGCGTTTTTATACCTTTTTTTCTCTATTCACTATATTCACCACGAAATGATATATGGGGAGCGTATGATAGACCTGGCGTAATTTTTAGAGAGGAGACGGATGCAATGACTGATATGTGCCCGTATGGGAGTGCGGCTGACAAGGATTAATGCTCGACGAATACAATAACTCAAAGATGGAGGGACATAAATGTATCCTTGAATGAATGGAATATGGTTTTATAGCATACGATGTGCCTTGTCAGTGAATAGGTAGTTTTGACACTAAGTGATTGCAGATCCCCTTTATCTTTGCTAAAATTAGTGGGAATTTTCTCAAAGCTGATTGAGTTTTTCTAGCTTTCGTGATTCCTCGTTCTCAAAATTTTGAACACTCAAGAATTTTTATTTTAAATTTTCGGATGTTAACCTCAAATGACTGAAGCCTCACTTAGCAGTGCTACAGTTATTTCTTTTTTTCCTGTCCTTTTTTGCCCTGGTATCCATTTTCACACATAGATTTGAGCCTAAGTAAGCATTAAGGAATGTCTTAACGATCCTAAACTATGATTCATTTTGTGCACGTAATAAGAAAAACTTCATCGTTTTGCAGGAGTGTTCTGCCGCAGCAGATGTACATTACACCGTTGTCGTTACTAACCAACAGACCATATCGCATGTCCTCCGTATGCTCATGAATAATATATTCTTCATGGCTCTGTGTTTATACTTTTATTCAAATAAATTTTTACATTCTTTTGAAATCAATGGAATTATGAACATTCGCGTTTAGTATGATCGAATTCTGTCCCGAACACTTTTGAATAATTATATTATTTGTTTATAAACTATGAAAATGATTAACGTTACAACTGTGATTTTTTACATTAAATCTATATGTTGATACACTGCAAAAATTATGCCGAAATAGAATCACCATGTTGAATAACTTTAAAATCTATGGGCATAATTTTATCGTTACCTATTCTTACTCTCTTATATGGCTGCGTTTGAAATGATACTGTACCATTGAATATTGTTTCTTATTCATCACAATCGATATTATTTTCCTTTGACTAATTCTTACTGTTGTGCTGATGTTGCATGTTGTTAATTTTTACTTCCTTTTTTCAATCATTGGATTTTTAATTTTTACATTTTTTATGTTAGATAATAATCCAATCATACAGTGACTAAGCATAAATCAGTTTTTAATGTTTGTTCTGAAGGTATGCTTGTAAAACAAACTGCAGGAGATCTATTGACGTAAACTCTCTCTATATATGTATCCTCTCTATTCTAATAAAATCTTTTTTAAGACACTCCATGGACGGGATGAGGAAGGGAATTAAGACAGTCGATGGGCCGGAGTAAGGAGGGGGAGTTCAAAGGTCAGAGTTTTAATAGATCGGGTCTTTACTTTCAGAGGCCTTTGTTTAGTCATGGACCCTGTGGATATGTAGCCCTGTCATGGTCGGCTTCCAAAAAAAGAATCAAAATTCAGAGTAAGGAGAAAGTCATTACGAATATTTTTCGGCGAGAAATGTCTTCGAAACATCGTTTTGTTATTCAATTAAAATTATTTGCTCAATAACCGCCAACGGGCAATTACGACGATTTCGCTAGCCGCGAAGCGGCCTTTGCGATACATATATATATATATATATATATATATATATATATATATATATATATATATATATATATATATATATATGAAGCTTTGCTCACCAAGTTCAAATGATCCAATTCGCTTATTTCCATTTAAATGTATAGGAGTTCGAACGGGTTATCCATTATTTCTAGATTCACGAAGGTCATCCAACCAGTTAGTTCCGCAATTCTCCAAATTGGAATCATAACTCAAATCGATCAATAAGTACATCAGGTATAAACACAGTCTCAAAACAAGCCCAAACAAGTCGAAAGGTAGGCCCACAAGAAAACTTAATGCTCAATGGTACCACTTAATTTCTCATCGCGGGTCCACCCCTGTTACTTCTGCCAGCGGATCACCACGGTAACGCCTCATTCTATCCACAATTCATGGACACCATGAACAAAAATCTTTAATTAGCATCTTCAATCAATCCACGTTCATGGAGTCCATGAACATCAATTTTATTTTAAAGGACTGAATAAATTTGGCACTGCGCGATTTTTTAGAAGTTGTAAGTTTTTAAAAGTTCAAGTTTGAAAGTTTGAAGTCATCCTCAAAAGTTGTAAGTCCTTATAAAAAGTCAGGCATCAGCTTAGCTTTAAATAATTTGAGAAAACTTGCTTCGTGGAGTCTATGAACACCTAATAATGATTTAACGTGGTCGTGGAGTCTATGAACACCTAATATTGATTTTGGGTGTTCGTGGAGTCCATCAACACTTAATGAGTAGATCGTAAAACAGAATTTTGATCACTTAGTAAGCCTAGTTTGAAATGGATGCGCCTCTGCGTATCCCGATAAGTTTTTAATTATGTATCGTACTTACTGAAAACTTAGATTACTCATTTAACTAACTGCTATCTTGAATATGCCTCCAATATGTATAGGTATGACCTGCATTTACAATGTCTCAGAATCGTCTTATAAACCAACGAAACGTTGTGGTTGCTTATATTTGCCACGCAAAATGTTAAGGCTGTACCCCTAAATCGATGCCTTGCGTTGAGTACTTTACGGAGAAATAATTTTTTTAATCTTGGAAAAAGGATTTTAAGTGGTCTCTCAGATTTCTTTCACGGGCGATTTTTGAGTATAAGGTATTCCCTTTCCGATAATGGAGATGTTGCATGTGTGAGGAATTTGCGATTTGACTGTTGATTCTTTTGTAAAAATTTGCGAGAAACAGGATGGTGCCACTGGGTTTTTCTGAAATCAGCTCCCAAGTTCAAAAAAAGCTCTGAAGTCAAGGCCAAAATAGAGGGGACATCCCACGGTATCCTGAGAGTCCGCCTCCACATCAAGACAAACTCTCCATGCAAAGATAGGGAGCAACCAGGGGCGTAGCTAGGAAATTTCTCTGGGGGGGGGCATGGGACCACCTCTCGTGGTGAAGAGAGCGGGGGGGATGTGAGGAATGGAGGATCCCGTTTTTCTGCCCCCCCCAGGACCCCCCTAGCTACGCCTATGGGAGCAACTACATTGACAGGGCTGTCTCTTTATTTGGGGACTCCAAAACTAAAAACACGTCAACCCTGCTAATGTATTTGCTCCCTATCTTTGCATGGAGAGTTTGTCTTGATGTAGAGGTGGACTCTCAAGATAGCGTGGGATATCCCCTCCATTTTGGCCTCAACTTGAGAGCTTTTCTGAGCTTGGGAGTTGATTTCAGAGAAAACCAGTGGCACCATCGTGGTTCTCGCAAACTTTTGCATCAGAATCAACAGTCAAAGCGCAAATTCCTCACACATGCAACACCTCCATTGTGTTTTCCGACGCCTCAGAGATACACGCATCATCTCAAGGACGTAAAGTATTCGAAGAGCTCATGTAAACCCGTATGGTAGATTTTTTAAAAAGCAAAACATCTTTCAAAAATGGAAGAAAATGAAACAGAAAGATAAAACTATTCAATCTAGGATTCAATCCGCTTCTCATGATATTTTTAATATAGCCGTGCCTTTTTGAGAGACGTGCTCTCACAATGCCTCTATAGTTCGATCAGAAAGTCTCAAAAGCGATCACCTAGCTGGGGGCGCGGCGCCTCAAAACCAGCTACGCCGTGACCCCCTTGTCCCTACTCAGGGATAAAAAATGTGATTTTCTCGTTTCAAATGGGCCTCTGGATGCCTCTCTAAGAGCTGGTCAGGTTTCCTTCATTTCAGTGGATTTTAGATCCAAAAAACGCATTTTCGCAGATCAGTTCAGTCAGACGTTTTTCCGCCCATTCAAACCAATGTAATTTTGCCCATAGTTTTGATCCCTTTGATTGTGAGCATCATCTAAAAAAGCCTCAAATTGGCTCAAATTTTATACAACCTCTTATTTTCATAGATAGAACCGATTGCCACCCGGACCTCATCGATTTTCCTACATGACGGAAATAAGCCGCACCATAAGGTTACGGTCAGCGTCGCGACGCGAGTGGCCCGGCGATGGGCGGGACGGCGCAGCGGGCAAAATAGATAACCGGAGCCCGGAGATATACGCGCTCGGCAGAGGCGTGTACAATTTGAAGGCCGTTAAGTACGCGGCAATCGCCTGCCGAAGCACGTTCAGGGTGTTGAATGAACAGCCTTCGAATACACATTTAACATCGTAGTCCAGTCGAATTAGGAAAATTAGGGGCAAAAACTCCCGCCATACAGGCAAATTTTGGCTAAAGTTGCTTGTTAGGGTCTAGAGAGGCACATGCTAAAAGCCCCCATTGGTATCCCTCGTGCTTAGCACCCCCAGCCCCCCAAAAGAAACCCAAAAAGGCTAAGAAATCGGTTTTCCGGCTATATCTCGAGAGCGGTTGGAGATGGCGAGTTGCGTTTGTCAGAAAAATATTATTCACCAAATTCTGCACGGAAAAGTTTGTTACGCTTTTTCTGCTCCAGGAACTCCTTGACACTCAAAATGACCGCCGCGTAAGGGCATCATAGCGCGCTACCTCACTGTGCACGCATAAGTACAGCTCTAGACCGCGATGCCGCGCCCCGCCGGTTGCTGCGCCGTCGAGTATCACGACCTCCTCACTCCGTCACCCTATATACATGCCTGGAATGTACATGCGTATGCAACAACTATGTACAATTACCTTGTTTGCTACGCCGAATTCTGTTTTCAATCAGTAAACTTGGATGCTCGAGCAATAGCCTGTGGGCGAGGTACAAGTAAAAAGGAAGGAAACGTATTTTGATGAAACTTTAATCCTAATCATCGCCCTCGCCATCATTTGTGTGAGGTCGATTCACAGATTTTCAACAGATCAAAAATTTGAAAAAATAAGTCTAGCTCAGAACTTGGCGAACTTAGAATCTTGGGAAGATTCCCAGAAAAAATTGGCGAAAGGAAATCATCGCGTAAAAGGATAGGTAGGCCGAAATTTAGACATGGACGTGGGTTTAACACTTTTAAAGTCCAAGAAAATGATATTATTTGTTATTTTATCTGATTACTAGGGGGCTGTGCCCCCTGGCCGCTCCGCGGCCCATCCCCCAGAGGACGCTTCGCGTTCTCTTAGGCCCGCGTCGACAAAAGAACGGCCAAAGAAAATGAAAAGATATTCATATACCCGACTCTCATTTGGACGTATTTATATCAAACTGAACTATGTGCATTAAGACGTGAGCCCTGAGACTCATGAGAGTATGTGCGTAACAGGGCTCACGTCATAATCCACATAGTTCCGTTTGATAAAAATATGTCCATTTATCCAATCTCCCTCTGGTCGGGAGCAATTGGACCTATGAGAATCAAATGAAAATCGGCATTTATCTCAAGCTTCATGCCAAGACTTACACGAAACGGAACGGAGCGTTTCGTCGCTTTTGGATGGTCTCTAGCAAAGGAGCATACCCTTGATGCACTTACCCTACTAACAGACCAAGATTCAACATTTCCCGCTTACTTCAATTTTCCGCTAAATTTGAAATTCCCGTCATTTTTCATTGGCGGGAATTTCAAATTTTGCCCCCCCCCTTTCTAAGCCTTCTGTTCTCCTCTAATATAAAAAAACCTAGGTCCTTTTTTCAAACTCTCATCACATTGGGCTCATTTAGGGATTATCACCCGTCGATAACCGGAAAAATTATGGAAATCGGCCCCGTAGAACGCTCAAACGAACTAAGGAAAAAAAAATACATTGTTTAAATGGGAGAATTTGCAAATTTACCTTGCAATATAAAAAAACCTGGGTCCTATTTTCAAAATCTAAATAAAGCAAGCTTATCTAGAGACAATTGCTTGTCGATAACCGCAAAAATCATGAAGATCGCCCCCCGGTAGAACGCCGGAATTAAGCGTTACCAGATACGCAAATTTAGGAGGTCTCGGAGCTTCCCATCCCATGCCACCTATAATAGTTACCCGACCTATGTCGTTTATTCTTTCGTTCACGATAACTATCGTTAGATTTACGTTAGCCTATTCAAATTTTGTAATTTTGTCCATTTTGGTCTTATAAAGATTTGTATAGATTTTTGGTTAAATCGCACTTACCGTTTACTTATAAACGATAATTAACGTGAGTGCCCTACTTACGCTGTTTTCCACTAATCTGTTTTTATGAAAGTCCCATTCCTTGGTTTCCTTAGTAACCTTTGTTTGCTATCAGCTGATGTTTTATTTCAATTTCTTTTTCTTTAATAAATCCTTGCTAGGTTAGTTCTAATTTTTTTGCCAGCATTTATTCTACCTCCCCCCCCCC